TCGAATCAAAATATAAGGAGTAAACCAACTGGCACCAAACATCAAAACAAAGCATCTAGTGGGAGATATCAGTTAGCTCTTTTCCAGTCACTCTCACTTTGCACCACACATCCATACCAGGAAATAAAGTAATACTCCCTAAGATAATGGGAACCTTCAGTTTTCTGAATCCAGTGACTTGCCCTCACCCTTGAATCTTCATGGAGCATCTAACTGTTCATCGCCACTTCCTTCTATGCTCAGCTCTACTAAGGCTACACCCCCCCTCGGAACTCTGGCAACTGCTCAACTGACCAGGATGGGAATCTTGAATATGTCAAGGTGGATTTACTATATTCTGGGTGACATTAAAGTTAACTCTAGTCACTGATCTCCTAGAAAAATTATAGACTAAAAAAGCAATTATGGAGACCCACTTTTTACCTCAAAAATGCAGTGACCCACATTAAGGTACTGCACAGGGAAAACCGAAGGACACTATTTTTATACAACTGTAATTATAGTATGCGAAGAATGTTGAATGTACTATAGACTGCCAGAAGAATGAACAAATCAGTCTTAGAAGAAATTAAACCAGAATGCTCCTTAGAAGGGAGGATGGCGAAACTTTGGCTTGTTTACTTTGGATATGTAATTAGAAAAGACCAATCACTAGAAAAAGACATTACGTTTGGTAGAGTAGAGGGTATAGTCAAAGTGAGGGAAACCCTCAATGAGATAGGCCAACAGGTACAGGATCGGGTAACGTTTCATTCTGTTATACATAAGGTTGCCATGAGTCAGGGCTGACTGGACAGCAACAAACAACAAGAATTATAGTGTATATACATTCTATATGTAATTTACCTTTTTAATGCTATTATATAATCCCCAAGTGTATCTATTTTAATAGCTGCTTAGATCAATAATATGATTTACCATAATTGACTTAAACATTCCCCTACTGTTGTGGAAGTTACTTCTAATTTTTCCCTATTATAATGTTTCAGTAAACATCTTTATATGCATAAAGCATTTCCTCTTTTGAATTATTTCTTTAAGAAAATCTCAGCAGAAGGACTTCTTAGTTCAAGGATATGAATATTTTAAGTTTTTTATGTGAGTTGCATAATTCACAGGTAAAAGTGCCATGTCAATTCACAAACCACCACTCATAATCTTTGACAGTCCTTCTACCACAAATTTATCCTAACAAACATTCCTTCCATACACTGTAGTTGGAAATATAAATTGGCACCATTTTTTAAAAGGCAATTTATGGTATTTTTGAAAAGTTAATAATGTACACTACCCTTTGACCTTGGAATTTCACTTTGAAGAACTGGTTCTTTGAAATACTGGCCTATCGATCCAAAGAAAAATAAACAAGGATATTCACTGCATCATTGTTTATGGCAGCAAAGAAACAGAAATCAACCTAATTATTCATCAAGGGAGAATGTTTAAATTAGAATATATCAAAATAATACAGTATCATTCTATTTCTGTTTCAAAGAAACTATACGCATGTATATGTGTATATACATACTTATATATGTGTTTAAACGTGTTTGTGTATATATGAAATAAAAGCAGGGAGGAGGAGCACTTCTTAAAAATGTTAAGAAAAAATAATTAAATAAAATGTTAAGAAGCAAAAGACTGAGGAGCCATATACTTTCAAATAATAAACATTTCAAACCACAATTAATAATGAATAAATGAAATCTATTTTTATGCATGTCACCTTTTCATACTGATTTTAACCATTACAGTAGAACCAATGATTTGCTGCATAAAGTAACGGCTGGATATATTTAAGCCAGTGGGTCTCCAAGTATACAACTCTGCAGATCATCTGGATCAGAATACCCTGAGGCATTTATTGAAAGTCAAAAGCCAACGTCCTAGGCTCCACTCCAGATATGAGGGCATAAGATGGACATTTGCAGCTTCAACAAGAACCCCAGCTGACTCATGAATCCCAAAGTTTAAGATCCATTTCCTTAAGCATTCAGAAACATGGAACATCATAGTAGTCAGCAGGAATAGAGCCATTCCATAAATTAAAAGAAAAAAAAAATTGGTTTTCTTAAACACAGTAAGATTAAAATTTATTTTCTATAGATTAAGCA